CGTGTCACCGCTGACTGCAGGAATGATACAATCTATCAGGTCCGCTTCATCCTTATGAGGAAGCTCTGTGTGTCTTTGCCACACCAGCTAGCTGGTTCTCTTCTTCAGTCCTTCAGTGTAGAAGGGAAGCCTTGTCTCTGCACCCAGAGTCCAGCCCAGGGCCTGGTTCGGAATGGATTCTCAGCCAATAAAGTGGCTGGGGTCACTGTGCATGAAGACGCAACATACCAAACACTGAGGCTGGGCCCAAGACACATGCAGAAGAGCCTACCAGACTAAGCATGCGGCTGAGTGAACCTGCACAAAGTAAACCCACCTAGACCACATTACCCAAGGAAAAATAATAGCACATTAGCTCCATCCAGAGCCCCCCTCATCTCCCTCCCAACCAGCACTCCCAGCTGCTGCCCCAAAGGTGAGACCCTAACACCACAGGCTCATTTTGCCTATTTTAAAATATGAAACCAGACAGTATAGATTCTTTGTTTCTGGCTTCTTTTGTGCAATGCTACTTGTGTCAATGTTCACTGTCAGTGTCATCACTGTATAGTACTCCATCATACAAATATCTATTTAGTTCTTCTGCTAATGATGGATGTCACTCTTTCTCATTTTTTTTTTTCAGTACCAGGGATTGAACTCAGGGGCACTTGACCACTGAGCCACATTCCCAGCCCTATTTTGTATTTTATTAGAGATAGGGTCTCACTGAGTTACTTAGCACCTCGCTAACTTGCTGAGTCTGGCTTTGAACTTGCCATCCTCCTGCCTCTACCTTGCAAGCCACTGAGATTACAGGCATGTGCCACCATGCTCAGCTTCATTTTTTTTACTATTATGAATAATGAACACTGTTACATAGCTCCCTTCCCTCTCTCCCTCTTTTTGGGAATGTACCTGGCTGTCAAACTGATGACTCTCAGGAAATAGATATTTTTATTTATATAGATAAAGCCAGATAGTTTCAAAGAGATAGAATGAACTTATCTTCTGTATTAGTCAGTTGTTCGTAACAACAATGAAACACCTGAGGCAGGCTAATTTGTAAGAACACCCAGCGTCCAGCCTGGGGCCTGGTTTGGATAATGTTTTATCATTATTTTTCTCCAGTGTGTGTGCCTTTATGGTGTTAATACGTGATTTTGATGCTGTTGAGTACTGGCCAGTTATTTTGTAGTCCATCAGTTTAGGCTTTTGTGTTGCTTCCTTGTGATTGCAAGAATACATGGATGTGAAGCTGTATCCTTCTCAGTACGTCCTATTAGAAGGCACACGATGTCTATCCATCTGTTTGCTGGTGTTGCTAATTTCCATCCCTTGGCTAAAGTGGAATCTGCCAGGTCTCTGCTGTTGTACCATGGTCTTCCCCTTGATAATTAACAAGGATATTTTAAGATGCTTTCAGACTAAACATTGTTTCTCATCATACTTTCAGTTCCTAGTTTTCCTATCCACTGAAGATTTTTTGTTTTGTTTTTCCCCCCAAAAAACCTATGGTGATCAACAATACTTCCCACAAATCCAACTGTAATCTGGAAAACCATGGGACATTTATTATGAAAACATCCCCAAAGTCATCCTCAATGATTAACAACAACAACAACAACAAAACTAGCAGATTGGAGGTGGCTGTGGCAGCATCCTCAAGCACAGTGCTTGTGTCCAAAAGGAGAGAGAGGTAACTGCTCAAAGTCTCCTTTTCCATACAAACAACGAGCTCAACAGCAGGCCGGGACAAGTCTTGCATGCTCCAAGTGTCTATTTCTAGAAGGACCACAAGTCAGCCAGGGAGTGGTGGGGCGCAGAGGTCAAGTTCAGCCCCAGGTCTCTGGTCAGAGGGTGAGCCCTGGCCTCATGTCTCCAGCAGATTCTCACTCAGCTGTCCAATTCCCCCCCCCCACAGCTGGAGACCTGCTCACCTGTTAAATACCATACCTGGCACAGGTAACCTGCTGTGAAAGCTGGGACTTAAATACTCTGAAGTTTAATTAGTGAATCTCTCTGGGGGCAAAGTCACCAAATGAGGTGACATGCAGGTGGGCTCTGATTTATTTATTTATTTATTTATTTTTATTGATTGTTCAAAACATTACAGAGCTCATGATATATCATCTTTCATACATTTGACTCAATTGGGTTTTGAACTCCCATTTCTACCCCAAATACAGATTGCAGAATCACATCTGTTACATACTCACATTTTTACATAATGGCATATTAATGACTGTTGTATTCTGCTACCTTTCCTATCCCCTACTATCACCCCTCCCCTGGGCTCTGATTTATGAGTGGACTAAATCCCAAATTTCATTTGAGAAGCCAAGTGTTGGAAATGAGCATGGCTGGGGAGGAATGCGGTCTCCCATAAGCTCACAAGGCCAGGGAGCTCCAGGGCCCCCCGCAGCCCTTGCTCACAGAATGAGCCCCCAAGATGAATGGCTTCATCCCCCCCTCTTCCTGGTACCTGGGTACCAGGAAGGCAGCTCATGCCAGCTGGTTCAATACAGTTCCAGGACGCAAGCCCCAATTCAGCATCTGCCATGTGTCAGGCCTTGGGAAACCAAGGAGGAGAACGACAAGGTCTCTGTCCTGGAGGAACCAGCAGCAAAGAAAGGGTCTCTGCCACAGACAGACCCAGGGCCACTGCTCATGGGCTCAGCAGTATGTTCAGACTGGCCAGTCCCAAGGTTTGTGAACCAGGGCTACCTGATCAGTGGGCAGCTAAGTCTGGCTGCCTTCAGGCACATGTCACTCAAAGGTTCTGATCTGCCAGCGGTTACATGATGCTCCCACTTCACCTGGAAAGAAGACACACACTAGCTCTTTCTTCCCTTTCCAACTCACAAAGTAGCGCTCGCTCTCTCCCCCCCCCCTCTCTATATATATATGAGCTTTTACTAATCTGTTCCTTCACCTTCCTTGAAAACATAAACATTTTCAAAGAGGAAGAAATAGTAGTAGAGTTGGATAACAGGTTATCTTTTTGGCTTGAGTCTCTAACTCTGATATCTGCAACCAACTACATTATAGCTGATCATCCCCCTTTATCAGAGGTAAATGCCACTGATTTTAAGGGCTCTGTTACTTTCTGTGCCACTGAGACAGAGAAACTGTTGCCCAGTGAGCGATAACACAAGGAAGGATACCAACAATTAGGGGACCCAACCCAACTTCAGAGCTTTCACAATGTGAACATAGTGATCCTGAATCAGTGCAAAGCAATCCATCTGGTTAATCCCACATGCTCAGGCCTGTATGCTAGGTGTCTTGACTGGAAGCCAGGAGTGGACAGAGGTGCTGCTACAGTCAATGGGGAGACAGCATTAACATTTATCTTTACTACTTCTCCTCAAGCCCCTAATACCAAACCAGACACCCAGAACCAGTTTCTCCTCAATCTCACTTGAATTCTTTTCAAAGAACTGCAATTATTTGCATATGTGTGTGTGTGTGTGTGTGTGTGATGTGTGTGTATCCACACACACATCACACACTTACATACATATATAAATATTTATAAGTACATGTGTACATGCAAATGTGTGCATGTGTGATGTGTGTACATGTTTGTGTACATATGCAAATGTGTGCACATATATATGCATGTGCATATATGTATCATCTGTGTATGTGCAATGTGTGTACATAAGTACATTCATCAGCATATATGTATACGTGTGTATATGTGATTTGTGTACATGTATGTGCACATATGTAAATATGTGCAGTATGATGTGTGTGAAGGAATGCATGTGTGTATGCATGCGGGGATGGAACCCAGAGCTTCATGCATTCTGGGCAAACGCTCTACCATGGAGCTACACCCCCAGCAACTCTCTTTAATCTCAGTGCCCTTGGCTGGCTCAGCCTTGTAAGTCACTCTCCAACACAGCCCAGGGACTGTGGCTCCCTCTCCAAATCCTGCAAACCCCAACCCAGAGCCTGTGCCTGTCAACGTCCCTTCCCAACCTCTCCCAGTCTCCATCATGGTCTCACAGTGTGATTTCAACATATCACCTCAGTTCTTTGTTCTTTTACCTTCCCAGCTATAAGTAAAATGAAATAATCTATCTCAAAGTATAGCCATGAGGCCAAACAATTATAAAATCCAAAATGCTGTGAGCTTTGATGTCAAAGGAGCCAAGATTAATTCAGAATATTACAGTTGCCCTATTTCTGTGATATTGCTTTCTCAAGGTGCCTTATTATAACACCATGTTTTATATCTGTCCTTTTAAACAAATATTTAGTAGCCCAGGGACACTAGCAAGGGGAGAGGCTCTGGTCAGCAGGCACTCAGCTCATAATCTGAAAGATGAAAGGAGATGAGTTTTAGCCACAGAGAAAAGTAAAACAGTCTCCAGGGCCATAAACTCCACATCCACCAAACTGGGCAGGGACTGGGAACGGAATATCTTTATGGAAAAAGCAACAGTAACTATCCTCTGTGCCCTGGAGATTATTAAGAAAGAAAACACATTGGGCTAGTGATAGATGCCTGTAATCCCAGCAACTGAGGAGGCTGAGGCAGGAGGATCACAGTTTGAGGTCACTGCACCTGGGCAACTTAACAAGACCCTGTCTCATTAAAAAAAAGAAAAGAGAGAGAGAAAGAGAGACAGGAGGATACAAGTCATTGGTGGAGTGCCCTTGGGTCCAGTACCAAAAATAATAATTAAGTTTAAAATTTTGAAACAAAGAAAATACAACTCCCTGAGTCAACCAAATCATAAGCCATTTTTTGTTTTTTTCAAGCGAGTTTGAAAAAGGTCCATCTCAACAAGCCAGGCCTTGGCACAGGGGAGGAGGCCTATCCCTCTTGGGCACAGGGAGGGGACCAGGCCTGGCCACCTTGGTGTGGGCCTCCCCGGCACCCAGCACAGAGCCAGCGGGAAACACACAAGGGGACCCACACTGGTCCCGACTGGGCTCTGGACTGGTCGCGTGCCCGCCACCGGCCAGGCCACCGGAGCCTGGTTCCTCAGCTTGGGTTTCCTCACCTGTCAAGTGGCGCTGCTGATCCTACCCCGTGAGCTGAGATGGAGGCCACGTGCGAAGCGCGTGGGCAGGAGGCCAGGGAGGCCGCCAGCGAGCGCGGGCAGACGGCAGGGACAGGCTGCCAAGGCCTGGGCGGCCGGGCTGTGGGGGCAACGTTGCGCCTGTCCCGGCAACAGGCGCCGCGTTCCCGCATGCGCAGCTGCGAAGCCTGCTCACAGCGCGAGCGCAGCCGCGTGCGCAGCCACGTGCGCAGATGCGTGCGCAGACCGGTAGGCTTCTTGCCCCTGCAGGCCACGCACTGACGTCATCCCAGCTAGCAATCTGCGCTGCCCTTAAGCTTGTTAAGTCACTCAGCCTGGAGACCCTGGTGTGCATTGTACTGGTGAGGGCCCTCGGGGTGGCATCAAGACTTGAATTTGGAACAGACCATAGGCCACTACTAGACCTTCCAGATCTTTCCAAAGTTGAGACACCACAATGTGCAGTGTACTCGGCTCCTGACACCTTCCAGGGCTCACAGGTGCCACAGTTTGCTTTCCTGGGAGTGTATCTGCGTGTGCATGAGTGTGTATGTGAGTCTCAGGGTATGTGGGCCCTTAGAGTCGCACTCTGCAAATACTGGTTGAGCCCTGGCACTGCATCTGGCATCGAGCTAGGCCATCTACACACACACACACACACACACACACACACACACACACACATTTTTTCCCCTTAGTCTCAATCACTCCTGTTATCAGTGAAAATTCCCACCCTATATCTGGGAAACTGATTTTTTGGGGTGGAGGGTGGGGAAGCTGATTTTTAAGTAAGCCTCGTGGATGACTAATGAGTGATCCTCCAGGACCTTAGGGCTGAGTTGAGCAGAGCTTTGCCACACTGTAGCTAGAAATCTGGCAAGGTTTGTGCCCAGCTGAGGAAGCCAGGATAGGATGCACCAGAAGGCAGCGGTCCTGGTGTGTTTGCGTGTCTTCCCAATTACTACTTGACCTTTTGCTACTTTTGATGGATTCCTTCAGGAGCTTGGACCCATTAATTCATCTGACTTCCAGTTGTCACAAGGAATTTTGAAGAGGTTGACAGCAGTCGCTCTGAACTCATTCCTGCTCTTTGCAGAACCCCTGCCATTTTAAATGTTTAGGTGGATCCGTTTAATGAGCACCATTTGACAGTTTAATATAAAGAGACAGCAAACCCCAGGCAAAATTGAGAATAATAACCTATACAAGAATAATCCTTTTTCATTGTACAAATTGCTTCCAGAAACGTCACCTCATTTGATCCTCATGGCAGGCTGGAGGGTGCTATTACTAGGAATATTTTTCAGATGAAGAAACTAAGGCTTGAGACCACCTGCCCTGCCTGGAGCCATACAATGGGTTATGAGAGCTGGGACTCAAGCCCAGGGGTCTTGTTGATGTTGGCCAGTGTTTTTCCAAGTCTCTCAGGGTTTTGGCCTGACTTTTTTTTTTTTTTTTTTTTTAGTAGTGGGGATTGAATCCAGGGATGCTTAACCATTGAACCACATTTACAGATCTTTTCATTTTTTATTTAGAGACAGAGCCTCATCAAGTTGCTGAGGGCCTCACTAAGTTGCTGAGGCTGGCTTTGAACTTGAGATCCTCTTGCCTCAGCCTCCCAAGCCACTGGGATTAGAGGTATGCACCAATACGCCTGGCTTGCCCTCACTTTAAGACCCCATCTCAAAGAAAAAAAATCACTACAGGCAAGGTGGCCTTCTCCTTCCAAATCCTCCTATGTGAGTGACTGCTTATTCTTCCAAAACTTGGCCTGGTGGAGTGATACTTTCAGTTATTATACTCACTTACAATCTTCCTCTTCATGTGAGTACCATTTATTGGTCACTTAGTATGTGCTTACATGTACCACATACATTGTAATTTAACCTTTATGACACTCCTACCCATAAGAGGCCGTTGTTTTCAACAGGTTCCTGGGCTAGGCTGCAGCAGAGCAGACTAAATCAGAATGGCATACTCATGCTAGGTGCCAGTAATCCAACTGAACTCTGAAACCAGTCGTTCAGACAGCAACACTAGGAGCTTCATAGCAACTAATTATAAAGGGGCCACTTTACCTGGGCTGGCATGCTAAGGATGTCCCCTTGGTTTTAAACGAATAAGGAAAGTAATTGAAACAACCAATCTACTTCTTGTTCGGTTTCTGCTTTCCTCAGCCCTTTTCTGTCTATAAAACCAAACTTCTCTGCTTAGCTTATTGGAACACTCATTCTTTTTATGGACTGAGATGTTGCCCTCATTCTGGAATCACAAATAAGAGCCAATTAAGATCTTTGAACTAGATTTGTTGTAATTTTGTCTTTTAACACTAAAAAAGGGAAATTGGAGATTCACGGGGGGGGGGGTTAAGTAAGTTATACAGCCGCTGGGTCCAGGGCCATTTGAAGTTGTGTGTCTTTTATTCTGGAGGCCAGGCCTTGTCCTCCATATTCTACTGACTGATTTCAAAACAGTCATTAGAGAAAGATAGAAAATAGAAACTGCAAAGAGAATGAAGAGCCGATTTTGTTCCGGAAGTCTAATGTCACTGTTGTGAATGGACAGCAAGTCTGGCACTGAACGTTAATGAGGTCTCAGGGAAAAAAAAAAAAAGAAGAAAAGGAGTGGGAACACAGAGGGGTTTTGGGAGAAAGAAACAGAAATTTTTCCCTTAATTGCATTCCCAAAGTAATTCCTCATGTAGGATATTATGTCAAGTCTTGGCATTGGAATTGGGATTTGCAAGTTATCTGTGTAAGTAGGAAAAGCATCAAAGAAGAAGGGAACAGAGTGTGCAAAAACGTAAATGCAGATGGAGTGCTTAAGGACAGGGATGTCACTTACCAACAGGGAAGCCCGGGACTCCCAGAGGACCTCTCAGGGAGTGGCAGAACCTGGTTTAGGCTCAGGGTCAAGGAACAGAGGCCACTCCTAGTTGAGAAAGGTTTGAGACAAGGACCCCCAAAGGAGCCAGTTGAAGGATTCACAGGGGAGTGCATGGCACTCTGGGGACGATTGCTGAGAAAGAAGCCATACACTGACAAGAGAGACAGGAGGGGACCATGGGTCAGTGCAGGATTTTCTCCTCCCAGATCTACATAGGCAGAGGAAAATTTAAGCTCTGTCTCTTGATGTCATTTTGGGAGAACCTTCTAGAAGCTTCCTTCTGAACATCCTGCCCTGTCTGAGCTGGATTGTTGTTTGAGGTGAGTGCTCCGTTCAGATGAGCTGTCCCCACAGCCCGCAGGTTCCTTAGTTTATTCCTTGAATGTAGACATGTGGGGCATGCTTACTGCAGTTTCTTCTCAAGGCCTCACCAAACCAGCGTGGTTGTCTTTCGGGCAGTCGACTGGAGTTTAGTGAATACTTACTGTGTGCTGAGCTGTATGCCAGGTGTATGCATGTGTCCCAGGAGGCTCTGCCTGGGTGAGCTCATCCCTTAACAGGAGGGAAAAGTAGACACAGCCCTAGCAGCACCAGAGACAGCTGAGCCATCTCTCACCCTCTGCCTTGCTACATCTGGCCCCATTTATCTCCTTCTGTCTTCTGCCCTTCTGCAGTAAGAAGACCCTGACCATGTTCAGAAGCAAGAGTTGAAAAATGAACCTCTTTCCTTCATAAATTAACCAGTCTTAGGTGTTATGTGACAGTAGCAGAAAATAGACTGAGATGGTTTGATTTTTAAAAATTGAGATGTAGGGGCTGGGGTTGTGGCTCAGCAGTAGAGCACTCACCTTGCACATGCAAGGCGCTGGGTTCTATCCTGGGCCTATAAAGATAGATGAATAAAACAAAGATATTGTGTCAACTATAACTAAAAAATAAATATATAAAAAATTTAAAAAATTTAAAAATTGAGATGTAATTTAAATACCATAAATTTCACCCTCTTCATTATTTTATTTTTTTGGTATTGGGGATTCAACTCAGGGACACTTGACCACTGAGCCACATCCTCCCCCCTATTTTGTATTTTATTTAGAGACAGGTTCTTCCTGAGTTGCTTAGTGCCTCACGCTTGCCAAGGCTGGCTTCGAACTTGCGATCGATCCTCCTGTCTCCAATGGGATTACAGTCATGTGCCACTGCCCCCATGTCCCTCCCCATTGTTTGGTCCTGGGGATTGAACCCAGGAGCCCTTTACCCACTGAGATACATCCCCCACCCTTTTTGTTTTTTATTTTGAGACTGGTCTTGCTAAGTTGTTGAGGCTGGTCTCAAATTTATGACCCCCTACCTCAGCCTCCCAAATTGCTGGGATTACAGGTGTGTGCCACCACACCTGAAGAAAATTCACGGTTTTAAAGGATACAGTTCAGTGTTTTTTAGAAGTGCACAAGGTTTTGCGATCATTAGCAGTATCTAATTTCAGAACATTCTCAAAAGAGAAACCAAGCTACCCACCAGCAAATACTGCCCATTTCTCCTTTCTCACAGGAAACCACCGATCTACTTTCTGTCTCTATGAATTCACCTATTTCAAAGTTTGTTTGTTTGTTTGTTTGTTTTTGGTACTGGGGAGTGAATCTATGGCCTTGGGCATTCTAGGAAAGCACTATCCCACTTTGTTACATCCCTGGTCTTTTTAATATTACCTAGTGACAAGGCCTTTGCACCCTGACTGCTCTCAAACTTGAGATTCTCCTGCCTCAGCCTCCTGAGTCACTGGGATCATAGGCATGCACTACTGCTGTGGCTTATTCTGGATATTTCGTTTAAATGGAACCACAAAGCTGGGTACAGTGGCACAGACCTGTAATCTCAGCGACTCAGGAGGCTGAGCAGGTGAATGGCAATTTCAAGGCGGCCCTCAGCAACTTAGCAAGACCCTGTCTCAAAATAAAAAAAGATAAAGAGGGCTGGGGATGTGGCTCAGTGGTTAAGCACCTCTGGGTTCAATTCTGGTACCAAAATAAATAAATAAATAAATGTGGTCTTTCATGTCTGGCTTCTTCCATTTGGCATATGTATTCAAGGATCATCCACGTTGTAGCACATACCTGGACTTCATTTCTTTTTACCAGCTGAGTAATATTCCATTTGGTGAATATTTTACATTCTATTTATCAGTTTACCCATGGGTGTGCATTTGGGTTGTTCCAGTCTTTGGTTATTATGGCTAATGCTGTTGTGTGTATTTGTGTACAAGTTTT